TCCAAAGGAAAGACAGGATTGTTTTTGCAAGGAAGGGAACAGAATAATATAGAGCTTAAAATGGTATCCATTGAGGTAAAGGAGATGGCTATCTTTGACTTTCTTAACAAAGGGCCTTTTCCCCACGGTGGGGAAGGGAGACAAAAATCCCAGCCTGTGCTGCTGCTGTGAAGCCCAGTTGGCACTTAGGCTCCCCTGGGTGCAGAGCAGCTCAGCCTAACAGCTGGGTTGCCGCTTCACAGAAAGATTTGAATATAAGAATTGGACATACCGTGATTGTGGTTTTTGGTTTCCTACCGTCCAAATGTTTGTCTCAGATTCCATGTATTTTTTGAAACAAAAGTTGATTAAAAATAAAAACCTTAAAAAAAAAAAACCCACCCTGAAGAGAGTAATCATTTTGTCCCCAGGAGTTCTTTATTTGTGTTCCAGTTTTTCCTGCAGTTAGCTGAGCTCCCTGTGCAATCAGAAGGTCCAAAAGGCGGCGTCTGTACAGGTCCGTTGGTCCCAAAAGCCTCAACCACTTGCCCTTATCTCATGGACCGTATGACTCCCAAAATCTAACAGACACTTAAGCGGCCCCCACTTTTCAACAGGCGCTGAGGCACACGAACCACATGAGCACCTCCACTCGCAAGCGCAAGCTGCGTTTCTTGGGCAAGCGAGGGAATAACCACTTCAACACCCCGCTGCGGGCAGGCACGGCTAGAACAGAGCCTCGCTGCTGCAAAGCGCGGCGGCCCCGTCGTACGCCGCAGGGCAGGCACTGCGCTGGCTGGTGCCTACATGGAGTGCCCAATTCCCTGTCCTCTGCCTCTTTCGCCCTCAGAAGAGATTCTCCCTGCCTGTGAAACACGTGCGAGCAGATGAAGGTAGAAGGAACGAAGGGCGGGGGGAAGAAGGCTGGATGACCTCTAAATTTGGCTTACAACCCAGTTCTTTACGGCTCAGATTTGCAGCACCACTTGGGATGTTTAAACGTCCCCGTTTATTGTATTTGCCCAGAGCTGGAGTTAATGCCATTCCTGGTAGTAATATACGATTGTCATTCAATTTCCCAGGAGACTGCAAGGGAAGGTTTGAATAACGAGCAGACCTTGATTTGTCTGTCCTTGCCCAGGTGATGACACAGCCAAGCGCCTCTCTGAAAGCTCACCTCATGTGAGCAGTACACAGGCCTCGTGTCTTCCAGAGTTTGACCATGAGCTTCAAAAACGAGGGAGCACACAAACAATTCACACATTTAAGAAGGAGGAATCTCCACCTCTCTCACTTGTAGTACCTTGGTGGCCCGCACCTAGGTATTTCACAGGGCAAGACCACGGGCTGATAATGTGCTACGTTAAGTAAGTTCTGAAAGAGAGCCTTGTACACTGTTCTTGGAAAAGAATAGCTGTAAAAGCAAGTTCATCTTTTTATGTTTAACAGTGACACCAGTAGGAGACAAAAAGGAGTTGGTTTTCTCATCTCATAGTTTATCTAAGTTTACACTGCGCTCAAGTTTAACTGGTTAATGCCTTCTGCTGAGCTCCTTTCAGCCCCACGTGAAGTAGGAGAAACGGGGAGTACAGATAATCAACGAGAAACAAATGTAATACATTTGATGCAGAATTTTCACTGTTACTTCACCTAAATCTGAGGGCAGTCATTCACACAGCATGATGCTCAGCAGATGAACAAAGGGTACCAAGAAATACTGAAAATAAGCACAGAAGGCGACTATTTTTAAATATGTAGCAGGAAATCATATTGCTGTGGGTAATGCAATCCTCGTTGCAACTTCTGTTTCAACTTCTGGGATTGTCCAACTTTAGTCCCTTTTCTTCCCCACTCTATCTCTTTCCACAGCGTCTGACCACCACTGAAATCACCTTGCAAAGATAACCAAGTATCAGTTCCTTAATTCTTCTGAGGGCTAGGGCTGACCCAAACAGGGAAGTTATCCTCCCCCTCTGCTCTGCGCTGGTGAGGCCTCACCTGGAGCACTGTGTCCAGTTCTGGGCTCCTCAGTTCAAGAAGGATCAGAAACTACTGGAGAGGGTCCAGCACAGGGCACTAGGATGATGAAGGGCCCGGAGCACCTTCCGTATGAGGAAAGGCTGAGAGAGCCGGGACTCTTTAGCCTGGAGAAGAGGAGGCTGAGGGGGATTCTTATCAATGCTTATCAATATCCAAAAGGTGGGTGTCAGGAAGATGGGGCCAGGCTCTTCTCAGTGGTGTCCAGGGACAGGACTGGGGGCAATGGCCATAAACTGGAAACAGGAGGTTCAACCTGAACATGAGGAAATCCTTCTTCCCTGGGAGGGTGACAGAGCACTGGAACAGGCTGCCCAGAGAGCTGGTGGGGTCTCCTCCTCTGGAGACTTTCAAAAGCCGCCTGGACTTGTTCCTCTGTGATCTGCTCTAGGTGATCCTGCTCTGGCAAGGGGGTTGGACTAGATGATCTCCAGAGGTCCCTTCCAACTCCTACCTCCCTGTGAATCTGTGAAACAAGCAAGCTTCCCCTCAGCCACTGCAGCCACAGGAAAAAAGAAGAAAAACAGCTCAAACAAGACTCAAGCACTGGAATGCAGGCAACTCTCAATTTTTTTACAGATGGAGGATTATCTAAGCTCCCACTCTGAAAATAAAAACCTATATACGTTTACACAAACATTTAAGATATTGCTAGCTTGCAAACACGGAGACCCTTGAAGAAACAGTGTGTTTCCTTCCAGGATTATTTCTTGGCCTGATAGAAGTCCCTTCCTACAAACCTTGTGTCTTTGTTTAGGCAGGGACCAGGTTAATTTTCTTCTGAGTAGCTGGTGTAGTGTTGTGCTTTGAATTCAGTATGAGAATAATGTGGATAGCACACTGATGCTTTAGTTGTTGCTTACACTAAGCAACAGTATTATTTAGCAATGCTTATACTAAGTTAAGGACTTCTCAGCTACCCAAACTCTGCCAGCCAGGAGGTGCACAAGAAGCTGGGAGGGGGCACAGCCGGGACAGCTGACCCAAACAGGCCAAAGGGGTATTCCACACCATATAACGTCATGCTCAGTATATAAAGTTGGGAGGAGTTGCCCAAGGGCTGCGGCTTGGAAACTGACTGGGCACTGGTCAGCAGGTGCTGAGCAACTGTATTGTGCATCACTTGTTTTGTATAGACTTTTATCATTATTATTCCATTCCTTTCCTGTCCTATTAAACTGTCTTTATCTCAACGCCCAAGTTTTACCTTTTTTCCCTCTGGTTACTTTCCCCCCTCATCCCACTGGGGGCAGAAGGGGTGGGAGTGAGAGAGTAGCTTTGTGGTGCTTAGCTAGGGTTAAGCCATGACACTTTTTTTATAAATCACCTTGGCTATAATAGCATTATTACTTTAAAAACATAACAAAAAAAGCAAAACCAAAATCCACACCAACAATAACAAAACCCCCACTGTGTACTTTTATGACTTTATACTACACTTTTCCTCATTTTTCAGTGATAAAAATGGGCCTTCCTTGGGCCTACAAGAAAGCAGAGGGGGGACATGACACGAGTTTTTACAACGGCCTGTAGTGACAGGACAAGGGGGAACGGGTTTAAATTGAAAGCGGGGAGGGTTAGATTGGATATCAGGAAGAAGTTCTTCACAGAGAGGGTAGTGAGGCACTGGCACAGGTTGCCCAGAGAAGCTGTGGATGCCCCATCCCTGGAAGTGTCCAAGGCCAGGCTGGATGAGGCTTTGAGCAACCTGGTCTAGTGGAAGGTGTCCCTGCCCATGGCAGGGGGGTTGGAACTAGATGGTCTTTAAGGTCCCTTCCAACCCAAACCATTCTGTGATTCTATGATGATTATATCACAGGAAGGCTTTAGAGCTTAATGTAGGTAGGTTTACATTATACTTTCAGGGAGATAAATAAAAAGTGACTGTATTGACAAAACGAGTCTTAACAAGACAGCGGGACAAATGCATTCATTACGATGGAATTGGATTTCCTATTTATTTTTGTTAAACAAGTCGGAAGCAGTATTGGTTTGATTCCTTCTTCCAAAATGTCAACATGAACAGAAAACAACAGCTGGAACATTGTGCCTGGGTAAGTGAAAACCTACACAGAACACTGTTCACCGAGTGGCCCCTGCTGGCATCTTACCCAAAATGTGTCCCTGTTGCAGCCACAAACCGAAGGGTAGAAACGAAAGTGCATCTCCATCCCTACTCTCATTTCTGCTTTTTGAAGAAGAAAGCACCGCTGTCCAATTTGCGAATGCTGCAGCAATGCGCAGAGCAACATCTCATACAAGGGATTTTGTGTGCAAGCATCGACCGGGGGGAAACGGGGCAGGCAGAAACACACCTGATAAGTAACAACTCCTCCCCACACCCCACAAGTTAACCCCATCACATCACCAGAAAACCCACGCAAACAGGAGGGGCATTTATTACCAGTCCCTCTCAGAAGGGCAAAGTTCATAAATGCTTTCTGAAGAGGAGTGGCAGGATCCACAAGGCAGATACTGCATGCCTCCTTGTGGAGGCTTGAAGAACACACACTCCCTCACTCCTGATAGTGTTTAACAAAACGTATTAATCATAATTTCTACCCACTTGGCTGAAACTAGCAAACCCCTCAGCAGCTCCAAACAACCCTATGGAAGGAAAGGAAAAACCCAGCTTGGCAGATAAATGTTTCTATTAATCTCTAAACAAACATGGAATTTCCCTCCAAATTTACACTGGCTGAAAGCAAAGATGATAATCTTGCATATTTCACCAAAGTTAAACAATCTTCTATTAATAAAAAAAAAAAAACAAACAAAACTTTAAAAACTGTGTGGATCAAAGGTTTTTCTCTGCACATTGCTGTGAAGTTAGAGAGAATTAGAAAAATGAAAGGCAGTTCTGGTGCATGATACTTTCTCCCTTTATTGGGCTTTTGTGGCAAGGTTATGGCAGCAGACGTGGGGGGAGAGTACAGGGGTGGCTTCTGTGAGAAGCTGCTGGGAGCCTCCCCTATGTCTGACAGGGCCAATGCCAGCCGGCTCCAAGTCGGACGTGCCGCTGGCCAAGGCCAAGCCCATCAGCAAAGGTGGTAGCATCTCTGGGGTAACGTGTCTCAGAAGGGGAAAAAACATTAAATGAGAATTTGAAGCACAGAGAGAGCAAGATGTGAGAGGAA